GGAAAGGGAAGGGAAGGGAAGGGAAGGGAAGGGAAGGGAAGGTGGGCGGATGGGCAGGCAGGCAGGCTGGTGGACACGAAATAGGAAGGGGAGGAATGGAATGGAATGGACGAAGGTGGTAAGAGAAAAGGGCTGAAAAGTCAATGAGACACATTTTTTTTCGAAGACATGGAAGAATGGTACAAGTTGTCATTGAACATTTTTGCATGAATACCTTCTAGTTATTCAATGTATACAAAAATCTCAAGTAGTACTTCAAGATCAGTCTTCCAAGAGCACCTAAAAATAAAGTTTCAGTGGCTTCCAGTGATGTTAAAAACACCCAGTAAAAGCGGCAAATATTACCTTGCTGTTCTCTGGAAATTAGTTATTTCCTACACGAAACTATGCTTATGATATCAATTTTACGTTCTCAACGGATAAAGGTACCCTGTACTTGTAAATAAGCGAGTGAAATACCTTCCGGGGTAAGGCATTTTTGAAAGACGAAAGGAACGGCCGTTTTCGATTTTCATACAATTTTGTTACGTTAATAGCTTATCTCTGATGGTCAGAACATATTTTTCAACTCGCTCTCGTTAAGCAATGGCCATGCACTTTAAGTGACAAGCAAGTTATTAGCAACCTGTTACAATAAAGAGTCACTTTACTATTCTTTCCCAAGCTGGACTGATCGGTGAGGTATCTGTGGAATACAGTGTAGTTTGCCTCGCAGTAAGGACGGCTTAAATGGAAAGTACTTCATTGTAAACAGAACGGTTTTTTTACATGGATGATGTGTCAAATTTACTCGCCCCAAACAGTTGTTAATAGTAATCAAGTATATTGTAGTTTTGGTGTGTCAAAATATGACAACACTATCTTCGAACTTGCCTAAATGCGACCTACTAAAATTCCTTTGTCATCAGAACGACCGAAATGAAAATATAGTAATGTATGCTTTCATTGCTTTGCCAAAGCCTTTCAATAAAGGTAAAAATATGATGACATATTTCACAACCCTACTTGATAACAGCTGTCTATCAATACTTATAATAGCTGCCTCTCAGTACCTGTCAACTGTTTAGAAAATGGGAGGAGACTGTAAACAGACTCTCCAGTCAGTGACAAATAATATTAATCTAGCCTTACATGATGACTATGCAGATCATTATGCGTGCATTATCGTTCTGAAGACTAAAAGGGAGTTACGAACGGGAGTCAAGTCAGAGAGCGCTACGGGACACACCAAGAAACATAAGACCAAGATTTGAGATCTCTGAGTAAATTTGATTGCTTAATTTACGTGATTCTCTTTATAAAAGAAACCTTTGTATTTTGGACATGTTAGCCAAGATGTCTATCACTATGAAGGATCCTTAAATTCGTTATTTAGTACTTTTTGATTCAATATATTTGTTTTACAGGACTCCACTGAAAACCAATATTTTTTGACGTGGGCTCCCTAAATATCTTCATTATAATAATTAAAGCCAACACTAAACAACAGTGTGACTGTTTGCGCTAACTTATTTGTATAGGGTAGACTATTCTGATCATAAAGTTCCGTTACTTATTTTCTCTGTTGTCAACATATTTCTATTGTCTAAAATAAGATATTTGTAATTTTAGAGAATTTTGGAGTTATTGCCACTTTCATTTCGGAAAGCTTATCGTTCACTCATTTAATGGTTTTTTATCAATTTTATTAAACATGCCCATGTTTAAGAGTCGCTTTCTTTCAACTTGAAAATGAAGTCCGAGCCGTGAGTTCGAAATGTTGTTCGTTATCATCACAGTTTTTTTTTTTCAACTACTTCCTTCCTCCCACGCAATTTTCTCTCCCTCGAGAGCCAAAGATTGTAAAAACAAACACTTGGCATCACGTAGCTGTACAGGACACTGAACTAGCATATGAACCCTCTACTCATTTGCTGCCAGTTCACTGGCACCTTGCACAACGTATAAAAGTTGAACAAAAAAAACACAACAAAAAAAAAAACAAAAAACGCACAAGCACAACAGAAAAGTAATGCTTGACAATTTCCATAACAAACGCAACATACCAGGTTTTTCATTCTCAGAGCTCACTAAGTTACTTGAAACTACTGAATTGTACTTGTAAATAGCGCCTTAGGGAAGCACTTGCCAAACAATTCCACTTTTGAGCTACAACTACGGAAGCATAGTAACCACCATTAACTAACCCGAGATTTGAATGAGGGCGTACTACAAAATGGGGTATCATGAAAGGCACGTTAACTTTTGTTCTTGTCTACCAGATTTGATCAGGATCGACAGGCCGGCGAGAAAAAATAACTTTGTTCACTGTCAACCAGAAAAACAAGACAAGGATTGGAATTCAATTAACAAAGCACGCCAATCTAACAATAAACAGGCCTTGCACATACTGTAACGTTGCGGTAAACAGTCATTACGCTGTCTCCTCGAGTGGACTCATGTTTTTCACGAGCAGGTACAACAGTGAACGTAAATCGTCACTCGACTGGAATTCGATCAATATTGAACGCGTCTCACGTGAACACTGCTGTACAACTCCACATGCTCAAACACATAGCTTGGACCTTAGTACCCTTGACTGTATTAGTGTTTGTTAGGACTTGTTGGTCAGTTCGAGGAAACGTTCGCAAAGCAACCGTGACAGGTCGAACGTTCAAAGAACTTCTAACTGTATCGTGTAACTATGAAGTTAAACAAAAACCCTGGAAGTAAAACGTAGTGAGGAGACATAACTACCAGCTTTCAAAGTATGGGCCCCTCGTAAATGTGTAAACGTGAACCTACGTTCATATATTTATAGGAAGTGCTGCTACAGATTTGAGCCCTGGCCTGCCAAAATAGCATAACATAACCAATAGCTGTCCCTGCATGTTGTTGATCATGGTGACGACGGTTTTCAAATTCAAAAACACATAACATAAAAGTGAAATAACATTAAACAGTGTAATAAACTGCAACATAAAGAATAGCAAAGCTCGACGTCGACTGTTATATGTCACGAAAACATTTATCATCATCGTTTATACGTAATTCTTCACAACAAGCTTTGATGCCTGCTCTACTTCTTTAGTATACGAATTCCTTCACACTTCTCTTAATTCCCTCAGGTTGGCGAGGAAAACACTTAAGTGTCTTACCTTAAATTTGTGTGTCTTCTCCTGTTATTACACCGTCATCACACAGGAAATATACGTATTTCACCCTTGCCTCCCTGCGCTTGAGTTGTTATGTCGCCGTATGACAGTGTGTGGGCTGATACCGGATCCGTGCTTGAGAAGTCAACGATGTTTATAATTAGGCTGTACACCAATAAATTCTAATCCCAATTCACACATCGCACTCCGATACGTCGTGATTATTCAGCAGTTATCGATCAAAATACACTTTGTAAGAGTCATCTATTTTCAGAAAGTCGTCATTTTCTTTAATTGTTATCCGTACAATATGATCCCATAGTTGCGTAAAATTAAAATGTACTTGGTTTATCGACCGTCCTGTCCCAGTGCTGTAATTTATGTAAAGTAAGTGATGTATTCACTGCACGTATCCGTGTGGGAAAATTTCAAAGAAAAACCTCAAGAGGCTTAGCCTATTAAAGCCCTTTTGTCAAGGTGAAAGTGATTTACGGTCATGACAATATACACTCAACACTCTGCTAAGCGTGTTTTTGCTGCACAGAGGGACACCTGGTAGGGTAAAAGTCCATAATCGAAGACTAATCGGTTTAGCATCACAGGTTAATTATCCAAGGATCAAAAGCGTTGCCACACTAAGGATTACTCCTTTCATAGTGTGCGGACATAAATACGGGTAGATTTATAGATAATACTGACCCTTTGGACTAATACCGTCGTTGGCAGTGAATAGAAGACTGTAAAAATCCATTATATATAACACTTAGGGTTAGACACTTATGGTAAGTTTATTATCACAAGTACCGGTTCATGATAAGTGTCTCAGCGGGAATGCCCACCCAAATGATATTGGACTCGCTCCAACGAGTGATAAAATTTTCATTTTTCACTTTTTCTTTCCTCCTCTTTCTTTTCTCACCCCAGGGTTTGACGCGCTCAGTCTAAACGTGCTACAATGACAACAGTCTGAAAAGGTGGAGACTCGTAAAACGGCGAGGAGAAGGTTTACTGGTAAAATGGGTGAAGAGTCAACAACTTCCACCACTAAAAGCGAAAGGGTTTGTGAAAATACGCAAATTCCGCATGCAGTAAACCTAAACGCTTCTGCGAACTTTGAAATTATAACTCGTACGTGTAGTTGTAAGTGTAAATATTAGTCTGCACATTTCTCGCGCTTTTAAGTCTCGATCCAGTATGTTTTTAAACCGCGTGCCCGATATTTTGCTTAAACGGAAGCGTTCACTTCTTTCAAGTAAATACATGTTGAAGTGTTTTCGTGTATTCACTATATAATATTGACCATGCCTGAAGTTCCAAACATATTTTTCTAAAAATGTTTGTAAACAAGACACAATCTCAAGAGTGTTATGTGACAACAGCCCCAGGCGTGGATACATGAAATACGGCTCAGTAAAATGAGGAAAATATATTAATTTTTCTTTTCCTCGCGTATTTGTTATAATACGAAGACAAGTGAAGAAACGGTATACAGTGTGCCAAGCTTCACGCGACAGAATATCATAAGATATGCATGTAGGCATGTCATTTCAAACTTATAATACCAGGTATTTTTCTTCATTCGCAAGTCAATATTTGACAGTTAAATAGTTCCTACACAATATCAATCTTACCAAGTCACGCTTTGTAGGGGACATTACAACTGGAATTAAAATAATTACTTAAGCTCTTTATATTTCTCTTAATTGTATTTGTTTGTTTTCCTTTTTTTCCCTCCAGTAGACACGCCCACTAATGCCGGTTCAATATGAGCTTTTGCACCCGTTACACTTATAGCCTGCAATTTGCCAATTTAGATCAAACGGCACTTTTTTTCCCAATGGATTCACAGCCTTTGACAGTATAACTGGAATACCACCATAGGTCGTATGCAAGGTTATTTTCATTCGTTCCATGAACCGTAACCTCCTCGGCAACTTCAGATTCTTGTAGGTTGCCAAGCCCACTGCTAGAAAAACACCAAAAACCAAACGAACATAAAGACCTGTTTGAATCGTCCATGTCCCGGTGACTAGAACCCGTGTCATGCGGTAACATACTTGCGATGCTTTCGATAAGTATTGTCCTCTAAAATGCTATGCATCCCCGAGGCTTGATCATCCCATTAAAACATCCCATATTCAGGCTGGCAGCAGTTTGTGCTCCTGTTGCACTGTTCTCTTGGGTTGATGTTTTCAACCTAAAAGAGAGGCAGTAACCTAAAGGAGCCAACCTAGTCAACCTAGACAGGCTAGAAGTTAATTACGCCAAAGAGATTCGGTACCATCCTTAAGCTATTGCGCTGGGCTGTAAGTGATGCTCCATACGCCTTCACTGCTCCAAGATCATCTTCTACTTTCTGTAACAAACTCTGCAACACGGAAAGAGGAAAACGGTTATAAAACCCATTGGGCCGTGTCAAATAGTTATGAATAATACACACAGGCAAATGTACCTTAAGGTCTTCCATTTCTTTATTGAGTGAGATGTTCTCCTCCTGTGACGATAGAACCACTTTCCGAAGTTCCCTTAGTTCAAACTCTCTATCTGTAAAGAGATCAATAAAATAACTGATTTGAAGCAACAACAGCATCGTCATTAACAAACACGACAAGGAAAAAAATAGGTGCTCGATGAGCACATGAATCCACGGCCGTAAGTAAGTGGATTAGGAATCTCTGCAGGGCCTGGGTTAAATTCAATGTCTCCAGATAACAAAAGCTTCTTTTCTGACAAGAGGTAGTTCTTATTATCAAACTGAACTCGGACAAAAATTCTGGATAACATTTATAATTCCTACCAGAAGACCAACACTTTTCTTGTTCAAATTTTGTTTAAAAAAAATCGAGTAAAAACAGACTCTTCTTCATGAGCAAGCTTGACAATACATAGCTTAGAGCTGGTAGCCACAGTGAATAAAACAGATGAAACGGGAACACTTTTCTTCCAGAAATGATTAATTCTACCTCTTACTTTTCTGTGTTTAACTGATTTTAAAACTTCGCGTGGTAATCTAAATGGTTCTCTGTCTCTTTTCCTACATGAAGCAACTTATAAATATACTGATCAAAGATTAAAGATTTACTCTTACATGTACCTTGCCTAAGTGTATGTAAACACTGGAAAGATTGGCCTTCACTCCGAGTATTTGCAGAAAAAATACTAGTTACATAATGACCAGGCATAGCTTCTGTGGATGTGTTTTCCATGGTCATGATTTCGTCAACTAAAGCTTTT